GTAGTTCATTCGTATTTCTGATGACACTGATCCTGACGATGTTCTGCACCTTTTACAAAAGGAATGGAAGTTAGAATTACCCAAACTTGTCATCTCTGTTACTGGTGGAGCAAAAAACTTTGTCATGCATCCAAAATTAAAGGATTTGTTTCGACAGGGATTGTTGAAGGTGCTTAATTGTGTAAAGTAAATCATCAATACACATAATCATTGCTGGAAATGTCATGATAAAATAGTGTTTAGATTCAGACTGCTATTCAAGTCTGAAAGTAAGACAATGTTTACACTATGGCGGATAGCTTTACCTGGCGCCACCAAAAGCTTTCCAGTATAGTGTAAACATATCCTTAATTAGTAAAATCCAGCAAGTGGTCTATTATCAATGCTGCGTTCTGATTGGTTGAGCTACTACTGGGCTATATGTTATAGCCTACTAGTAGCGAAAAGGGCCGGATTTTTGGCGGCAAAAAAGGATTAAAGTCTTGCTTTAAGTTGTTTTGTCTCGATATTTTGACCAACTAATTGGATTTTACTAAAACAATTATTCCTCTCGCCCCCATGGCCTCTGAGTCAATAGTCCATTCGGCCTTCAGCCTCATGGGCTATTGACTCAGAGCCCATTCGGGCTCAAGAAATAATTGTTAAAGATATCAGTCCGAAGAGTGCCCGAAGAAAAAAAGAGAAAAAATAAGAAGAAGGAGTAGAGGTTTCTTTTCTAAACTACCACAAATTGACCTCTAAAATATTAGAAAAAGAAATAAATGGAAAAGGATCACTTAAGAGGATTTCTTTTGAATAAGCCATAATGAGCCATAGCATTACATCTTAAGATTCAAAGTTATAACTTAACGTCCTGAACAAATAGTACCAGAGTCCAAAATTATAGCTACAAATATATACTGGATAAATAGTACTGTTTATAAGTACTACTGGAGAAGTATCATTTGAATGGTCACTGCACAGGATCTGGTCCGAAGACTAAAAAGTTAGAGCTACATACTAAGTGAATAGCACCATGTGAAAGTACTGCTAAAGATGAACTTTGCATTTGAATGGTCACCCCATAGGATTTCATTTACACAGTCAAAAGTTAGAACTTCATACTAAATAAATAGGACCATGTGAAAGTACTGCTGAAGAGGTTTCATTTGGATGGTAGCACCATAGGATTTCATCCACAGACTCAAAAGTTAGAACTACATACTAAATAAATAGTACCATGTGAAAGTACTGCTGAAGAGGTTTCATTTGGATGATAGCACCTTAGGATTTCATCCACAGACTCAAAAGTTAGAACTACATACTAAATAAATAGTACCATGTGAAAGTACTGCTGAAGAGGTTTAATTTGAATGGTCACACCATAAGATTTTATCCGCAGACTCAAAACTTAGAACTACAGTCTAAGTTAATACAAAATTGATTAATATATCAATTTTATGAAATTGAACTGCTAAACTGCGGGGTGAAGAAATGAATGCAGAGATCGTCACAGCAAATATGCAACTTATCAATAGTGTAGTGGCGAAAAGAGAGCATAATTAAATTCAGGCTTGACCTTAGCAACAGAGAATGATCTAACTCATTCTCTCTTGACCTTAAGTACTCTTCTCTTCATATATTTCTTTACCAGGCAGTTGAATTATGGGAAACTTAACATTTTTATCATATAACCAGCTCCTAGTTGATTTGCTAGCTTAATTGGTTAGAGTGCTGCACCGGTAACGCATTCCGGGTTCCAATCCCGGCAAGCCTGAACTTTTTCACCGTTTCTTCTCGCAACTGCATAAGTTGCGTATTTTACTCTGATGATTTTCTCTGAATTAATTTAATATACTCGAACCTCTCCTAGCCTTTTCCAGGCTCTCCGTTGGTGGGGATGAAGCGTAAGTAAAAGGCAAGCGAAATTGTGAGCGCGTGATCTGGGAAAAGGCAGCGGTAGCGGAAAAAGAAATGGAGTGAGAGGAAGGGAGACGACCTTCTTCTCCCAACTTTCCTCCCGTTTTATTTTTGTGTTTGCGCTTTCTCAATTTCTTGGACCCAACTACCTCGGAGCCTGGAACAGGCTAAACCTCCCCGAGCAACTATTCAAAATAAGAGGATTTCTTGGTCTCTTATGAAAAAGGCAGAGAATTTATTGCAAACAATTTACTTTTCAAAGTTGTCACAGAAAGTTCTTCGTGTACCCTGGGTGGCGTAGTACATACAGTGGACAAAAAAACGCCGCGACATTCACCAAGTGGTCCCTTACAAGGGGTGAAAAACAATGGAAAACTATAAGACCGTCAGGCCAAAAAGTGGTCGAAGTGGCTTATAGGAGGTGATCGTTTACGAGAGTTCTAACTATAGAGCTTTCACGCAGCGGAAACTTCGTTGTTTTGAATAGATGGTCGCTTATGGGAGGTGGGCACTTACGTCGCGCGAGGTGGTCGCACATGTAGGTTCGACTGTAGCACAAAGAGGTTCTAGATGAAACTGAAAAACATGATTATTAAAGGGGTTGTGTCACGGCAGTCGAGTTCATTTTGTTTAATTTTGCCAATTACTCGCCCTCAATCGCTATGGAAATTAAAGAAAGTAAAGAAATTACAGGTATATGACAAAATCAGAGATCCGAGACAAACAAATATGTCTCCTGAACATTATTTTTGAAGTTGCAAGCAGCAGGGATCAACTTTGAAACACTGTTAGGCTGAGCAGTTTTCAAAAACCCTAATTTCAATCCGTCTCAATCTTCTTCAGTTTTGCCCGTCCGTGACATCTGTTGTTTCTGTTATGTTATTTCAACCGTCCTTTAAAGTTTTAAGCAGTTATTTTTATGTTTCTCTTAATTTAACGGGCGTTTTGTAATTTCCTAATTTGGCTTAATTTCGTGACACAACTCCTTTAAAGTCATGTGAACATCCCGAGCCTTTTAAAGTGCATGGAGCCTTGGTGCCTTTGTCCTCAGCCTAATGAGATTTTAGCCTTTAAAACGATGCTATAAAAATTGAACAAGTCCAAGATTATTTAGGGAATACTCTGAAAATCTTTCATGTGCAAAGCCCGGATAGATTATGACGCTTTTCGAAACTTATCGACAGCAGCCCATTATACACGTGATTCACTCCATGACTACCCAAGGTCCCTTTCCTTAGCACCTGAAAGGATTAGTCTGCCTTTATCATCACAAGACACCATGAAAGGGTACCCCCTGATGGTCTCTTGTTTAATGTTAGAAAGAACGAATTGAAGGTTTTGAAAAAGTTCGTGACTTCGAACACACGTACTCGAAGTAACGAAAAATAAGCGTAGAAAGGCTGCATCCATAATAACTTCTTAAACTGTTAACCTCTCTTCAAAATTTTTTGCACAGGCAGCCAAGACCACTGGTGCATGGATAATAACAGGGGGAACAAACACTGGCGTAATGAAACACGTAGGAAAAGCAGTAAAGGGTCATACTGTAATGTCACGAGGGGCAATGCTCACAGATAAAACGTCTCAGGTGCACTTGATCGGAATCGCTCCATGGGGCATTGTGGAGCACAGGTCTGAGTTGATTAAAAAGGTAAGAAGCATTTTGAAAGTCACTTAGTAGCGCACACGAGGAAGATATTATTTTCGCCTGTCTCTTGAACGTGGAATGACAACAAATCTTTAAATAGGAAACACACTTTACAATAGTGAGATTCTGAGAGGCCCTGTGAAAGGAAAAGAAAAATAGGTAAATAAATAAATAATGGTAATAAAAGGAACAAGTGGGAAAGTAAAAACATAAATTGAAGCTAGCTAGTCTAAGCTAAAGTGCAAGCATGCATGACCGCGTTGGAAAACTATTTCAAACTTTAACGCAACCTTTTCTTGGGAACGGTATGTCTTTAACTTTATGGGCAAAGCAAACGAGAGTCAGTTGGCAGCTATGTCAAAGCCAAGGATTCCAAGAAGCAGCCAAATGGCAGCAAAAACAAACAAGGAGAGAAACGTTTCCCTACCAGAATTAAGACGACTGGCAATGAGAGGTACAAAAATTGTGGTACCCAACACAAACGAAACGAATCTCGCTATTCAACCGAAAATACGGTCATAAATGGCATCATTTTGAAGCGTGTGTATGGCCAAGAGGAAAGATGAGGTACCCGCGTTAAACACTTACGAGAAAGTCACGATAGCTCAGTTTCTCAGACTCTCACTTCGTATGTAGAGTCCTGTGGTTATCGATTGTTTGCAGGCTCAGCTTCTTTTGTGAACACAATAAGCTGGAAACCATGTTTGTCATGTTTCAATGTCAGCTTTTCGACACAGGTGCGACCTGTAATGTACTCAACTTCATATAATGATGTCCATGCTACGCGCGCTGTTATTGGTAGTTGCCTATGATCTATCATAGTACAGATACATAGTCTAAGATGACATCACGGGAAACTTGTTTTGTTCGTTTTGTTCAACACGGGGGCGCGGTTTTGAAAATGTTTGTGAGATTATTTAGGATTAAAGCAAGTGAAAGCCTCGAAAAAAGATGAGCAGGAGCTATTTACAAAGAAGACAAATGGAGAAACGGGGACAAAAGGCGCTCTTGAGTACTTAAGAATCCCCAAAACTACAAGAAATCTTCACAACAGTTGCCATCATGTGTCATCGCTACAAGGGACTCGCTGTTTTGCAAAATGTTTTCGCCATTGTTCTGCTTTGAGCAAGAAAAGAAGTTGAAAACTGAACTTCTCGAAGAAACTGTAGACAAGTAAGATAAAGGAAAAAAGAAGAAGCAGGGACGAAAAGTAGCGCTTGGGACTTAAAAAAGGCCTAAACTAGCACAAATCCTCGAACAGTCAAGCGGTACGAGGCAGGTATGTGTATCGGTCTATTTTCTTTTCTGATCGTTGTATAAAACAAATAGATTCCATGTTGCCATTGGTCTGTTCAGTAATAGATCACAGAGGAGGTAAAAATGTGGTAAAAACATCAGTTACAGGGGCGGATCCAGGATTTTTCTTAGGAGGGGGTGCACCACTAACTGACTGATGACGTAAAAAATTTTAAAAGCGAATACGAAGAAGAGGGCTTTTGACTAGGAAATAACATAATGTGAACTGCTGGGAATACATATCAAACGATAGAGCAGATTTTCTATGTCTGTCAAGCGACTGCACAGTGTTAATTAGAGAGCGGCCGCAGGTCATCCCAGGGGGGGTGCGCACCCCCTGCACCCTCCCCCTGGATCCGCCCCTGAGTTACACACTCGCCTGTGGCTCGTGTGCCACTTTGTTTTTACTACATTTTGACGTCATCTGTGATCTATTACTGAACAGACGCGCAGTCTTAAATAGAGACTTATCGATTATCAAGCAAGAAGGCAACCCTCTCATGGAAAAAGGCAAAACCTAGTTTAAGTTATTTCACGGCTGCCTGAAGCCTGTTGACGAAGTCCTTCTGCAAGTCTCACATAGTGGAAGTTCGCATTTTCCCAAGTTTCAAGTCTCTAGCGAAACAAATAAGACTTTACTGTCTGCAGAAACCTTTCAAAAGTTCAAACTTCTCAAGTTACCATCTCAGGCTAAAGTTCTTGTCTTGTATGACAAAACAACTCTCTTGACAGTTTAAAGTATACGGCTGAAAGATTATTGGCGATGTCTTGAAAGGTCTTGGACATATCGGTTCAGGTTCAGCTTTGTACTTGATCTCTTANTAAACTAGCACAAATCCTCGAACAGTCAAGCGGTACGAGGCAGGTATGTGTATCGGTCTATTTTCTTTTCTGATCGTTGTATAAAACAAATAGATTCCATGTTGCCATTGGTCTGTTCAGTAATAGATCACAGAGGACGTAAAAATGTGGTAAAAACATCAGTTACACACTCGCCGCCACTTTGTTTTTACTACATTTTGACGTCATCTGTGATCTATTACTGAACAGACGCGCAGTCTGATATAGAGACTTATCGATTATCAAGCAAGAAGGCAACCCTCTCATGGAAAAAGGCAAAACCTAGTTTAAGTTATTTCACGGCTGCCTGAAGCCTGTTGACGAAGTCCTTCTGCAAGTCTCACATGGTGGAAGTTCGCATTTTCCCAAGTTTCAAGTCTCTAGCGAAAGAAATAAGACTTTACTGTCTGCAGAAACCTTTCAAAAGTTCAAACTTCTCAAGTTACCATCTCAGGCTAAAGTTCTTGTCTTGTATGACAAAACAACTCTCTTGACAGTTTAAAGTATACGGCTGAAAGATTATTGGCGATGTCTTGAAAGGTCTTGGACATATCGGTTCAGGTTCAGCTTTGTACTTGATCTCTTAACAGTTCTAGCACGGCAAAGCTCTAGACGTAGCCCTAAAGAATGAATGAAAGCAAAGCTCACAGATCTAGAAAGAAACCCAAAAGTATAGAATGGATCAGCAATGTGGTAGTGGCAACCAAGCCCGTTAAAATCCGAATATGCTTAGACCCTCAAGAACTGAACAAGGTAATTCAGCGTCCTAAATACTTAATTCCTACACTTGAGGAACTGTTACCTATTGTAAACTGTCCAAAGACAGAATTTTCAGAACGCAAAACGAGAAAGATGGCTTTTACCAAATCAGTCTTTACGAAGCCATCAGCAAATTAACAAAGTTTTGGATTTCCATTTTCTCCGTATGCCCTTTGGAAGCCTTGCTCCAGAATAATTTTGAAAGTAATCTACAAGAGAAAAGTTCAGAGACGACATCATAGTTATGGGATTTGGCGAAAAGGAAGAGCAGGCAGTCCTAAAACCAGATCCTGATAACGTGAAAGTTGTAGAGGAAATGCCCCAGCCAAAGTGCAAGCAGGAAGCCCTAATTCTCCTTGGTTTCATCAATTAACTCTCATAGTTTTCTAGAATTGCATAAGTATAGCACAGCCTCTAAGACTTAATAACTTAAAACGACAAGTTTACATGGTCTTAATGGCATAAAGCAGCTTTCTAGAAAATTTAATTTTGCTTTAAAAGAGGCTTGTAGTCAACCACCCCATACACCGAATGCAAATATGGCGGACCTCTCGGCCGGCCCGGGTCTAGTTGCGCGAAAGCGAGGCTAGTGAGGCCTCAAGAGTTTTGTTTTGACTGCGCGTCTTAGCGATTGAGTCGATCGATATCGTTTGCTTTGAGTTGTTGCATGCCTGAGGGCCACCAAAAAGAAGATTTTTCTCTAGGTGGAATAGCCCTTACTTTCCCGAGATCTTTTCACAAAGAAAGTTAAAAATTCATGCGATTCGACGCGGCGATGGGAAGCACTTTACAGCGAAAGTGTGCTCGCTTCACTTGCTTTAGATCCTGTTTAGATGAGAGGACTCACGAAAGTATTTGAAGAAATAATTTTCACAAGAGATGGTGCTGTTCCAAGATGTTTGCATGGTCTGTTATTTATTCAACAAAAGGTAAACATTCTCGAAAACGGGAGCATCTGCTGTGGACTGTAAGATCTTTTAGATTTCACGCTGAAAACAGCTGCATTAAAATATAACAACAACAATAACAATCGCCTGTTAATCCTACAAGCGTGGCCTGTGAAACTATGTAAGAACCAGAAGAAAGCGACATATTTCAAGATTAGTCCTTGACCAAGGTGCACTGAAAAAACTAACTAAGGAACCGTTGCCAACTAAGAAAGTATGAAGAAGGAAAAAGGTTCTGGTAGAGAAAGAGCGTGCAAGTATTCGAGCATTGTATTTGACCCTGCGCGTGATCTATCTTAGCAACTTGTCGAATGGTTTCGAGGTAAACTAACAGCGATTTTCCAAAAATTGCTCCTTTTATGGCACTGCTCAAACTCTTGAGCACAGGATCGTGAAGACTGTGAAAACATTCGGCCTTGTTGTCTGTCGTTGTGTCCCTGAGAGCGCCTAAAGTTAGGTAAGTCGCGACGGCGGATTCACTCGTTCTCGAGGATATTTTACCTTTCCTTGGTAAGAGAACGGACAAAGCAAACTTGAAACAGAACCATGAATCTTTCAGTTATTCACCCATTCTAGTAGTTTCGTGAGTCTTCTCTTAAGTGAAGCGAGCACACTTTCGTTCTTTTAACTCCGTGATAGTAAAGTGCCTCCATTCGCCGCGCCGAATCGCTTGAATCCGTTTCTTTCTTCGAAAAGAACCTTGGCAAAGCGAAGATAATCAACTTTCGTCTCTGCTGGAGTTAAATCTCCTCTTTGACGGCTCTTAAGCACTTAACAACTCGAAGGAAACCATATTGATCGACTGAATCGCTAAGACGCGCAGTCAAAACAAAACTACCGAGGCCTCACTAGCCTCGCTTTCGGGCAACTAGGCCCAGGCCGAACGAGAGATCCGCCATATTTGCATTCGGTGTATACTCAAGTACTAATTGCAATGAAGATGTCATCTTCCAGTGTAGTGCCAGTGAAAGAGGATTAGGCCCAGCTCTTCCATAAACCGGTCAGCCGGTAGCGTTTGGTTCATGGAATTACACAAGAAAAAGAGTGCCTTGCAATCGAGTTGGCAATTGCAGAGTTGTTGTTAAACCCATTGCGTTTTGACGTTCTCGTTGCCGTGGCAGCCCGTCACATCTTAACTCCCAAATAAAAGTGGATAGCTTCCTAAAAACAGTCCCACAATGCAGTTCGGGAGAAAACCAACCATAAGGGCTCAAGTCCCCACTTCAAAATGGCCAATCAGACGCTCTTGCCTCGAAACTATCCACATGGTTGACAAGAATACTGCATACGACTATCCGTAGGCGACCACTTTGCAAATAACCTCATTCTCTCGCAGTCAAATACCGTTTAAGGTAATTCCCTTGTTTGGCACTGGGCACACACTACTGCGTGTAATATTGCAACTTCCAACATGGCGGCGGTTCTTCCCGCTAGCGCAAAAAGAACAAACAGGAACCGCATTTGCAGAGCTTAAACTTCTATTCGCAATAATAATGCTGCAGATCGGCTGACAGCTTCCTGGTCTGCTATCGAAAAACAAGAAAATCAAAAAAATGTGCGTGATCCCGAAGTCTGCAGTGGCTTTTCACTTCGCGGCCGTCGAGTTGTGGAATTAAAGTATAAATATCCTGGCTGAGGCTTTGGATGGGGGCTGTGAAGCCTGTGGAGCAGCTATACGGCTCTCCAACTGCATTAACTAGACAGTGTCTGGCGTAGGGTTGCTACTGTACATATGTTGTTCAAACTCCGAGAGTGGAGAGACTAATATATTTGTCGAGCAAATAAGAACCACCGGTAGCACCAGAACCACGCGTCTTTGACGAAGTTTGCTGCTGAATTCACATTTTGCTGTATAGACAAACCAAACAAGAGAACATATGAAGAATAGGAATCAGTTGTCTTTTCTTCAGGATTATTGCGAAAAAGAAAAAACAAAACGGACCCTAGCTCACTGGAACACAGAACACCAGCGCTACAATATAGTCCAAAATAAAAATTCATAACCCCCAAAATCTCATCAAATCTTGATTTACCTCATTCCTTGGTATTTGTTGCAATCTTTCTGTGTTGGCGATATCTAACTCATAAAAAGAATCGAAAACAAGCTTGATATCGAGTGCATACTTCGAACACGATGGGCGCTATTTTGTATCTCGTCCCAGTCCCCGCCGCGCAAATTCTATATCCTGACTGCGATGTCTAAACCATGTCCGCCTTTCACGGTAGTTTGTGAGGAAACAAGCACCGTGACCCCCCGACTTTCTTTTCAGTTATTTGCTAAGTACAGTCTAATAAAGAAAATATTCGAAAAACAAAAAAAGTTTGATTGTAGAACATGACTTTTTTGGGAAAATGGTTCCGTACTTGGTGTATTTGGGCCAAGGCGAGGACTTCAAGCTAACCACGGAACTTTCCCGAAAAAGTGCAATATCTCTACAGCTAGGCAATAAAAAACGGCTTAAATCAGGCAATCCCGTTTATTTGCATAAAAGAAGCTTTATTTTCAAGATAAAATTTCGTGTGTTTCAAGCAACAAAGACTTAATTCTGTATGAAGGTGATTCGAGTTTTTAACGCGCAACCGGTAAAAATAACCCAGTTTAAGAGCCTGCTGACGCGTAAACAAGCAAGGTGACTCCATATTTTTATGGCATTTTTTTACTGTTCATGTCATGAATGTTGATTATGCCAAGTTTCAAAAAAAGGTTGATAGTAGAACAATTTCAAGGGGATTACCTTAAAAACTTTCTACTCCCCAAATTTCATAAGTAAACGGTTCCCTGTTTTCTGGACGGAATCCTGTTTTTCACTTAGATATATAAAATTGTAATTGTAATTATAGTAGAAATTAGTGTGGCGTTGTTTATCAAAATTAGTGAACTCCTACAAGAACAAAACTCGCAGATTCAAGCCAATAATAAATAAGCAACTGTTATGTTATGCCCGATTTATATGTTTCTCCTAAGAGAGCTTGATACATTTCCTCAAATTCAAGTAGTTAATAAAGAGTGGCTGCTCAGTTTATAAAGCAGTAGATAATAAACTCTTAATGACTGGTCCGAGAGAAACAGTTAATTTGTTTCCCCAGTATCCGCCTCGGGAAACATCGAGACTCGAGGCAAACAAAATTAACTGTTTCCCAAGGGACAAGTCTTTAAGTGATTTGTTATACAGCAGGAAATCCTTGCTTTAACAACGGTTGACAATCGCGGGTAACAGTGCACTGTTACCCACTGACGTCATAGATTTTTGGCGGGTAACAGTAGATTTTTGGCGCGCGCTGTTGGGAAAAAATTTCCAGCTATATAACAATTTTAACTAGTGGATTCATTTCGTTTGTGGCGTGTTTTCTTGCTTTTTCTGGCCAATGACCATCTCCCGTCAGCGAACACTTTCTCCTGAACCAAAGGTGGTGGGTCAACAGAGAGTTGACAGTACACTCATTATCTTTTTAGACACAGGATCTTGTTACATATCACATGACGTCAAGCTTAGAGATCCAGGGATCGTGTATCGACAACAATCATTCACACTTCTTGCTTGTGGACGATGGCACTGAAGGAAAATACGGTGGAGAGATCGCATTCCGTGCAAGGTTTCAAAAGTTCTTGGCAAATAAAGAGATTTCCAAAAGTAATTATCTAAAAGGTTCAGTTTTTTTCTAATAGTCTTTAACGTAGTCGAAGTGGAACGTCACCCCGAAACAGTCGTTTGGATAGGTTTTTTATAATGCCTGGTGGTCGTTTTCCTTTAGTTCAATATTATAGTGTTCTCTCACAAGCCCATGAAAGCAATTGGGAGCTTCTACCGCGTACATGAGTTTGAGATTCATTTTGGGGTTATTGTTTCTAACTTTCGCCCTCTCAATGAGAACGAGACTCAATCCCTCTTTCAAACGTTTGTCAAGAATTCGTGTATGCTGCAAAGACCCACGTCACTTGTTGCCAGCTGCCGAGATGGTTTGCTTCCTCTCATATTATAGGGATTGTGAATACATTGTTGTAAACTTCTACGTTGCTGATGGATAACTAAGAAGATGGAGCTGCATTTGGAAGTGCTGCCCCACTGATACGCGAATTTTGCAGAAGGAAGGGGGAAAGGCCTGAAGTTAGCGACTACTACTACTACCATTACCACTTTCTTTTTATTTTCCCTTTTTAGAAGAATAACTACGTCCTTTCTCTTTTTAAAACTGCAGGATACAACTATTTAGATGAAAATTCTCAGAACGACAGGCCAAATGGTATTCCTGTGGTATTGGTTGTCCTTGAGGGAGGTCCGAACACTATTCGTACAGTGTTAGAGTCAGTTACAAGCACTCCTGCCGTGCCTGTCGTCATTGCGGATGGTAGCGGCAGAGCTGCTGATATTTTAGCTTATGCTTACTCACTGTATATTGAACATGAAGGGTTCGTATTCGTTCTCATAATGTTTTTCTTTTTATGTCTAGAAGGTATGGCAGTTGCGTTAACCGGTCACTGTTGGACTGTACATTTACTCAAACCAAATTTTTGTGTGATCAAAATTTTTCTTAAGCTTGGATATACCTTGAAATCTTGCCACTAAAGATTTGGTGGCAATCATGGAGGAATCATCTAAAAGCTCTTGCAAAAAGGCAAAACACATTTTAACACTTTACATGGTTTTGCTATGTTGACAGGTTTGATCTGAAGCACTTTCGTCAGGTTGCAGAGCACGAAATACTTGAATTGAGAATTAAAAAAGCCTTCCCTGAAAGGGAATGGTTTGAGAGTTACTCCAATGTACTTGAATGTGTGAAGAAAAGTCAGTATGTAAGTTTAGAAAACGAGTAATTTAATTTTTGTTCTGCCCTTTTTGTGCATCTCATATAAATGTAATGATTTGTGCTGGGTATCCCAGCCCAGATTAGTGTTACAGTTATTAAGCTTTTTCAGAGAAAGTTAACATTTGAGAGAAAGTATAAAAAGAAGAATTTTGTCAGTCCCACTTGTTTAATTAGCTGTTCAACGTCCTTCCTACAGATCACAATATGCCATATGGACGACGATGGTATCGACATCGACAAGTCGATTTTAAAAGCTATTTTGAAAGGTTTGAAAGTACTTTTTTAAGTAGTTATTTACAGTGTATGGCAGTAGGCAGGCTATTCCATTTTCAAAGATACTGTAATACCAATGGCATCAAATGCTGTTGTCTATAATCAACTTAGATGCAATGTATTCTGATGAGGTGTAGACTGATGTGTTGTTATTTAAATACATAACAAAGGGGGACAAGTTATAAAATCCGCAGTGCCGCTTATCGCCAGCGAAAAGTCGTCAATTTTGTAAATTTCGTAGCAGAGTTCAATCCTGGACATAAGTGAGACGTTTGCCCTATCATTTTCTTCGTGGTCATTAGCTAGATAACGTAATAAAAGAACCCCTGAAAAAATTAATTCTCTGTCCTACAGTTATTTCAGTGTTGAAAGAAAAAAATAGATGAAGCTATAATACGCACGTTTGTATTTGCAGCGCAAATTACTTTGCCTTCATACCAGCTTGATTTGGCCTTGACGTGGAACCGAGCTGATATTGCTAGAACTGAGATCTTTACTAAAGGCCGAAAGTGGAAGGTATGGGTGTAATCGTGCAAGTTGACAGTTGTTGCATTACATTTTTGTACTTGACCAGGTGAGCGCTCNGGTCATTAGCTAGATAACGTAATAAAAGAACCCCTGAAAAAATTAATTCTCTGTCCTACAGTTATTTCAGTGTTGAAAGAAAAAAATAGATGAAGCTATAATACGCACGTTTGTATTTGCAGCGCAAATTACTTTGCCTTCATACCAGCTTGATTTGGCCTTGACGTGGAACCGAGCTGATATTGCTAGAACTGAGATCTTTACTAAAGGCCGAAAGTGGAAGGTATGGGTGTAATCGTGCAAGTTGACAGTTGTTGCATTACATTTTTGTACTTGACCAGGTGAGCGCTCAGTAATTATGCTTGATAGAGAACCGATAAGCACAGTGGGAGGCTTAGATACAAATGTAAGCTCGGTAATTAAAGTCTATTTTGTAGTTTACAAGGACCGAAGGAATTAAGCGTTAGACTTGTCTCCTTGAAAATCAAAACACGAAATGCAAGTTAATCTTACGGCAAAAATAGAGTACTTTTTGCTCAAAATTTCGGTCAGTCAGAACTGAATTTTAATCAGAGCTGCGAAATGCTGATGAAGGTTAGTTTTGTCACGAGTCCAATCTGAGTATCGAGAAGTAAAATTAATACCTCTTTAGCTGATTCCCAGGAAGAGACGGAACATTTCTCTTGGTGGTGACAGTAACTTTCAAGCGGAGCAAATAAAGAAAAGTTACAAACACCTGTACAAATGTAAGAAAATAGCGGAAAACTTTTAATAGACTTCAATAACCGTCTTTCAGGGTAAGCTCTACAGTCCAAATTAAACCAAAGAATGGTGGCCGCTAGCGCTCTTCCTATAGATAAGAACCACGCCGCTTTCAGAGCAACAGTGCAATCTACAGTTTTCCTTGTCAAGGGGCACAGAGTGCAGGTTTGCGGTACACCTGTAGTGAAGCGGAGAGTAATTCAAAGCTCTTGGCATTTATGCACCTACGTTGTAAAACAAATTAGGTCACTTTCGGTCTGTAAATAAATAGGCAAGGGATTTAAAATGACCTAGAACAATTACAAATTGGCAATATACGTTCTTCCGCGTAAGATTTAGTTAAGGTCTTGTTTTGGCAATGCCAAACATAAAGATGGGCTCTTACCACTCGTTTTATCAGTGAACTGATATCCATACCATTTTCTAAAGAGAATTCTTCTTAAACTTTGTTTTCGTCGAAAGGTGTCTGAAGTCCCTCCGGAATTTGAGCAAGATTAGTTACATCTGGAACATCACAATGGCAGCGTTTCAGTCACGTGGAACCTTATATAAACTAATATCATTTTTCATCAAACCGTTCAATTCAAAGTAACGAGGGTTCTAGAGCCAATCTTTTGTTTTTGAAAGAATTTTGCTAACTAAATCATCAGCATCTTTTTTTTTTTTNAGAAAAGTTACAAACACCTGTACAAATGTAAGAAAATAGCGGAAAACTTTTAATAGACTTCAATAACCGTCTTTCAGGGTAAGCTCTACAGTCCAAATTAAACCAAAGAATGGTGGCCGCTAGCGCTCTTCCTATAGATAAGAACCACGCCGCTTTCAGAGCAACAGTGCAATCTACAGTTTTCCTTGTCAAGGGGCACAGAGTGCAGGTTTGCGGTACACCTGTAGTGAAGCGGAGAGTAATTCAAAGCTCTTGGCATTTATGCACCTACGTTGTAAAACAAATTAGGTCACTTTCGGTCTGTAAATAAATAGGCAAGGGATTTAAAATGACCTAGAACAATTACAAATTGGCAATATACGTTCTTCCGCGTAAGATTTAGTTAAGGTCTTGTTTTGGCAATGCCAAACATAAAGATGGGCTCTTACCACTCGTTTTATCAGTGAACTGATATCCATACCATTTTCTAAAGAGAATTCTTCTTAAACTTTGTTTTCGTCGAAAGGTGTCTGAAGTCCCTCCGGAATTTGAGCAAGATTAGTTACATCTGGAACATCACAATGGCAGCGTTTCAGTCACGTGGAACCTTATATAAACTAATATCATTTTTCATCAAACCGTTCAATTCAAAGTAACGAGGGTTCTAGAGCCAATCTTTTGTTTTTGAAAGAATTTTGCTAACTAAATCATCAGCATCTTTTTTTTTTTTTGGTTTTGAATAATCATAAGGCAAAAAGATGTTTTTCATTGTTATTATTTGAGGTTTGAACCGCAACCTGCGACCTCGGCTTGGCAGGCCGTTCCTTAGCTTATCCAGTTACGACAGTTAAGTTAACAGGGCGGCTGGGAAAATTTAGCGCAGTGATATATTTCCTCCTACGTTGATAGCCCAAACAAAAAAAAAACATATATACAAAATTATTTTTGCTGCTTCAAGAGCAAAATTTCGCGAATGCAAAGTACTCTCCATGACGTCTCCAATAGTGGGCTGTTATTTATCTGGCACTCGACAAGTTTGTTTTGACAAATACTTGCTCCGATAGCCGGACAAATTGTTAAATGCTAAAGATCCATCTTCAGACTAATTCACTTAAATGGAAACCCAGTCTTTCAGCGTGTGGAATACAAGTGACCTCCAGTTTTGATGGAACATAGTTTAATCATATCGATCTCTTAGTTAAATTAAGGTTGCATTTTAGTTTATCTTGATCATTTGTTTTGTGCTGGCTTATCCAACAGATAGAGACCTTGGAAGATAAGATGGAGGACGCTTTAATTAACAATCGTGTGGAATTTGTAGATCTTCTTTTAGAAAAAGGTGTCAGTATGAAGAAGTTCCTGACTACAGATCGGTTAAATAACCTTTTCAAGGCAGTGATCGTAAGTACAACACATGACGACGTAAGACCAACTTAGATATTCGTACATCATACAAGACTAGACTGTACAGCAATCGGTTTATTTCTCTTCATTAATTCCAAATCATTGCTGTTCAGGTACGAAGCGCGAGACCATAGTGCCCAAATGGAGCACAACCCCACAAGCCTTGAGCTTTAAACCTTATCGTGTTTAAATAAAGGATATGTATGTATGTAATGGCATATCACATTCCCGTTTTCACGTTACTATTGGCCAGTGCTTATGTCAGTCGTACAGGGATGGGTTGGTGGTTGCCACAAAAGGAAGTGCAGTCGAGAAAACTTGGGGAAAGAAGCGTTTGAATCTGCTTTCAGAAATGCTCTAACACAACACTTCAATACAGCCGTACTATTAATTGGTCATGAAGGAGAGTACTCAGTCCGTTCTCGTCAAATGCCAAACCCTTCATGTGGCTGTGCAGCCGTCTCGTGACATATTGAAACTGATATTATACACCTCCACCAATGACTTAATTAGAAAAAATGCTCCTAAGGGCTTTGGACCTCATAAACCTAGTAGTCTCAGCTGTTAGTCTAAACGGAAGTCCACGTAATGAAGTAGATGCTACTTTTTCCTAAGAGGCGTGATCAACGGCCACTTGCCAGGAACCAGAGGCTAGATCTATTGTACAAAATCATATCGAGTCGCTAAAAATCTCATTAGCTGGAGAAAGGGTAAAGGATCTGTTGCTGCCATTCGGTTAACGGAAATAAAGACATACGTTTGACTAATGACAACCGAGTAAGACCAAGGGCCTTTGTAATTTTCACCCTCCCCTGCTGGAGTTGTTATACTAACGTCCCTTTCAATTTCATCCTGCTTGTATGTAGAGCTGCGACAGAACCGCTGTCCGGTGGAGGAGC